TTGTTCAGACTGCTGGTCAGAGGCTTCAGGAGCGACTGGCTCATGTGAAGCACCCGGGGATTGAGCAGGAGGGTCGCGAGGTGGAGGGGCAGAGCTAGGTCCGGGAACCTGTTGCTTCTGCTTGGACTGGCGAGGTATGTGAGACGTCTTGGATTTTTCGCTGACTAAATCCTTCCACTTCTTATCTGACTCAATCTTGCCATAGGTGTCTACGGGATTCCGTGATTCACCGTAGATATTACCCGGGCGAGTTACTGGTTTCCTTTCTCTCACCGGTCTCCACGGCTCATCTTGTGGCGCAGGATCCCCCGGAGGTGGAGAAAGCGGGTTCTCAGGCTCTCACGCCTCAGGCTGCACAGGTTCGTCATCACAATCCTGGCCTGGCCCCTTTTGGGATTTAGGAGGAGGACGTGAGCTTGGCTCATCGTCGTCAGTGATCCAGTCATTATCAGAATTATCTGGTTGACTGTCAGCTGGTTTAGGTTTACTCTGCAGCCGAGTGCTTGCCCGTCGCTTTGTATTGGGGCATTTAGGGAACATAGTTTCGTCAAACAGCGCAGTAGGCTGAGTGACTATACTATTATTGGCGCACATGAACTTGAAACCATGGCCGCCATCAGCGACACCAATGTAAGTCATCAGCTCAGCTTTAGGTGATAACTTATTGGGTCTGGTTTCCTTTGGCAGGTAGACGTATGCTCCGCATCCAAAGACACGCAAGTGCTTGATGTCAGGAGCTTCCTTGTTCAGGACCTCATAAGGAGTCAGCCATTGATGGCGCTTCAAAGGAGTCTGATTGTAGACATGAACGGCATGGTCTACCGCAAATTCCCACTAGGATGGAGGTGAGCAGGACTCTAGCCGCATTAACTGCGCTTTGTCCATTATCGTCTGAATAAAGCGCTCAGCACGACCATTTTGTTGGTGTGCATAAGGTGTGCTCTGACGGATTTTTATGCCCTCGTCTCTGAGCATTTCGATGAATGCGTCAGATTTGTACTCTCCCCCTGCATCGGACATCCGCTCCTTAACTTTCCTGCCATATTGATTTTGTACGTAGGCAAGGAATTGATGAGTCTTAGCAATTGCAGCACCCTTGGAGCGCATATGCATGACCCATCCATAGGAGGTATAATCGTCAAAGAAGACGATTGTGTACCGATACTTATGGTAGGAGTCTACGGGAAATGACTTAAGATCCTAATGAATTAACTCAAACGGTTCTTTAGCCCGTAGAGTGGATGGCGGGAAAGCCTTAGAAGGCATTTTCCCTTCCGCACATCCAGGGCATACTGGGTCTTCCGATGGAAACTCCAGATTGGTGGGGAAACCTTTGGTGTGTTCCCTAGCTTGCCGCAGGACTTCCTTAGAGGGGTGTCCCATGCGACGGTGCATAATCCCATAATCGACCGCATAGATCGTTGGGAATATCGAGTATGCATCCGGTGCAGGAATTGTACTGACACTGTAAATAGTGTCGCCGGGCTGCCGCGGTAAAAACCTGAATAGAGGTTCGCGCAATCCCTTTTCATAAAGACTTATGTGTCGGTCATTGCCAGACACTTTTAATTTATCCTGGAGCAAGACTCCGAGTGACATGAGGCAAAAATTCAGGTCAGGTATATAGTATACTGGAAATAACTGAGTGGTTATGTTCCCGACATCCTTGATATAATAATTCAGGACCGTCGTACCAAACCCAAGTATTCGAGCAAACCCGTTCGCGGTAGACACGGTCGCAGGTTGCTTAAATTCCTCATAATCGATGAAGTCACTCATGTCATAAGTAAAATGTCGAGATGCCCACGAGTCGGGAATCCAGGTGTTACCCTGTTGTGCCTTATCTTTCCCCTTACATTTTGCACACGCAGCATAAGTTTGCGCATGAGTGCAATATATTAATGCCAAAGTTACAGGACTCAAGTTTAAATCTACACTACGCTGCCCTAACTGTGATGGCGCGTCAGTGGAGTCCTGTAAAGGGGAAGATGGCACGTACGAGTAGTGCTCGTCAATAAAGGCATTCTGGTCAAAGCCAACAGCCTCCGCAATAGTGCAGTCCAGGTCTTCCTCATCGCCGAGACTAACAGTCTCCCCCTGGTCCTTGTCACTACCCCAGTCGATAGACTGGTTGTCATCGTTGTCGCTGTCCGCAGTGTCATCCGCGCGAGCGACTCCTTCAAAGCGAGCACGCTTGGACGCGCGGCTGGAGGCGACGGAATCGGCATCCTCCATGTCGATATCCAGGTCCGGATCGACCTGCCCGACTAGAGCGTCCAAGACCTTGATATCTTCTTCAGTGGGACTTATGTCAAGGTCCCGTGCAAGCTTGAAGGCTTTCTTGATATGCTTGTTGTTGTAGTGACTGGTATCTGCCGAAGGAGGCGGATGGAACGGACCTTGCTCTTTGACCGTCCGAGTCTTGCTGCCAGTGGGCGCAATGTCGAGGACGTGAGCGATGGTGGGAGGAGGAAGGGAGACGGTCGAGGCGATCAGGACGTCATGGGCATGGTGATGATCGTGGTGTTGCCCTTGACGCTTCTTGCCTGCACGCTTGCCGCGATAAGGGTGCTTCTTCCCATCTCGCGCATTGCTGCTGCTGGCCTGAGGGCGCTGCTGCTGCTGCGAAGAAAAGGAGGGATCACCTGGCTTACGCTTCACCGCCGAGATCTTGTGCGCACCGAGTTTCTCAGGCTTCTTGCCTTGAGACTGGTCCCAAGCAGTGGTAACTGCTTCCCGTACCGCACCTATGCCCATGTTGTCAGCAGAGGTAGCTTGGACCAGCATCTGCGCAATGTTCTCATAGCGGCTGGGGAGTACATAAAGGCAAATTAGACCTTCAATAAGCGTGGGAATCTTGACCTTGGCCGCTTCTGAGTGTCGAAATGTTTGGATATCTTCGCGAAGGCTGGAGCAGGGTGCTGATCGGCCGGAATCTTCGTCGATAAGGCCCCCCGCAGCTCATTGTAAATGGCGCCGAGGGACATAGACGAATAGAGGGAAGACAATTGGTCCCAAGTTTCCTTGGCCGATTTCTTGTCCTTTATGTAGGAGGCGACGGCGGGAGAGCAGCGTAGACGGATCGTACCCATAGCCCTGACATCTTTTTCCTTCCAGGCATCAGCAGCGGTAGAGTCCCTGGTGGTACCGGAGACGACGACAGCTGGCTGCGTAATGCTGCCATCCACATTTCCCCAGAGGCCTTGGGACATAAGGTATGCCATCATTTGCTCGGACCAGGTAGGCAGTTCGAGCCGTCGAGGACGGGGACAACGGCGATCAGATTGTTCGACATTGTTGCGGAGCGGTTGAGAGATCTGAAATCTGTATTGGGATCTCATCAGTATCAGCGAAGCTATGCAGCCCGATAAGGGTGCACTGCTCCATGCTGTTGGCTCCATTAGGGAGTTACCCCAGGATCGATCATCAAGCCTGATGGCTGCTGATAACAGCGCCTACGGTGATGATCGCGCATCAAGCCACACTGCAGCCTGTGAGGGCGCATAGGGCGATGCACAGGTGAGCGAGGCGCAACGCGCTGCAGCGAGTTACCGCGCAGACGCAAGCTGCCTATTTGGGCTCATAACCTGATGAAGAGTTATGGAGGCAGCAGCACGCACAGTGCGCCCTACACAACTCACCTGTATTGGTTGGATGCTGTAGCTACTGGTAAAGCTCGTATAAACGACCCTTGTCATTAGGCAGCAGAGCTGTAGGGTTTATATACACAGTGGCCCATAGACTGACTAAGCTACGTGGAATATCCCTAATCCTACTGAGCTCCACCTATGATGTCACTGACCCACATGAGTTCCGTGCCATTGTACAATAATGGAATATACCAGAATATTCCAGAGGGTTCCGGTATGTTCT